CAGTAGGTGTGCTGGACATTTTTCCTCCCTAGGTGCAGCACTTTGCATTTCTCCTTGTTAAATTGCATTCTGTTGTTTTCTGCCCATTTGTCCAACCTGCCCAGGTCTGCCTGTAGTTGTGCCCTGCCCTCTGGTGTGTCCACTTCGCCCCACAGTTTTGTATCATCTGCAAACTTGGACAGAATACACTTCACTCCCTCATCCAAGTCACTGATGAAGATATTAAAGAGTATAAGCGAGCCCTGCAGGACCCACTCCCTTCCAGGTTGATACCACTCTCTGGGTATGAACCTCTAGCCAATTTGCCACCCATCGGACTGTGTAATCATCCAAGTCACAGCTTCTTAACTTGTTCACCAGTATAGGGCGGGATACTGTATCGAAGGCCTTCCTGTAGTCTAAGTAAATGATATCAACCCCTACTCCTGCATCCAGATGTTTTGTAACCTGATCATAAAAAGAGACTAGATTAGTCAAGCATGATCTACCTGCTATGAACCCATTTTGGTTTCCCCTAAGCATAATTTTTCCTGCTGGGCTCTCACATATATGAGCCTTAATAATCTTTTCAAAGACTTTGCCAAGGATGGAGGGGAGACTGACTGGCCTATAGTTGCCTGGATCCTCCTTCCTCCCCTTCTTGAAAATAGGGACCATATTGGCCCTTTTCCAGTCTTCCAGAACCTGTCCCATGCATGAGTGCTCAAATATTTTTGCCAGTGGCTGTACAATGATATCAGCCAGTGCCTGATTGGTGATGGTGATGGTGACTTTTATGGTGACACGGTGATATGACTTTTATAAAAAAATTAAAACTTCATTAGGGTTGTCAATTGTTAGTGTAGACAGAGATGAGATATATTAATCATTGTCTACTCATGATTAAATCTTACTGGGACCAAGTGAGGGAATATGGAAGGTAATTTGTCTGCTCTGACCACACAGGTGATATCATATGCACTTGGTCATTTTTTAAAATTATGTGTGAAAACAAAGTTATTGATGGCATAGACTTGCCCAGCAGCCCTGATGATTCTTTAACTTCTAGGTTTGACTTGACACACACCAACTATTTCCAAGTCACTCAAGCAATACTATCACAGTTAAAAACATACATAAATCCCACACTCTCTCTAAAATGTTCTGAACACACCAAAATTGCTTGACTCTCTTATCTAAAGAAAACATACACCCCTATGTTTAGAGAAACATTTTGATTCTAACAAATCTGGAAAAAAATACTATAAAGTGCGAAGCACTTAGAAATGCTCCCTGACTACTGACATTTAATATTTGTGGAGTATTATTATAACAGTCTCTCACTACAGTATCAGATAAGAGGGAAATAATATGGGTATATCCAAAGTCTGACATGAAAAGTATAATCTTAGGCATATATATTGTTTAAACTTTGTTTGTGACATGCTCACTTTTCTTTGGATTTGTGAGATTAGATGACAGACACAATTAGTTGCCTCACAAATCATTGACAGACTTTTTGTGAGATGAAAAACACATGAAATCATGAATTAAAAATACATTTACATATGATATGCAGCGCTAAACACTACAACTGCACCTGTGTTTAGCATGAGGCAAACTACACCCAGTTTGTACCAGGACAAATCTCTGTATGAGCCACTCCACAGATATAACTTACCCTTTAGCAGCCCAATTCAGTTGTTCCTGAGGGTAGGACACTTGGGTCTATAGTTTATTTTTATTTCAAAGATAAATTGCCTACCAGAATTGGCACCAAAAGAAACTACCAAAACAGAAACTTCCCAGCAGTGACCAGTGACTGATTAAAATAGTTATTTCATTTCCTGTTCACGTACAAGCTGGTTTACAATGAGTGAATCTATAACTGTCTATTTGGTCATGTTATGATGAAATAATTTGGATATTTCTAGACAGTAGGAGTTAGTCTTTTAATTTGATATCAAAGCTGTGTTTTGGAACTGCAGGTCTTAAGTTTCAATCCTGTTTTCCTGTACAGACAATGTTTTAGACAGATTTCCTATTATAGCTTGTTCCAGCTCTTGGACCTGCTACTTAAAATATATTTATTACTTCAAATATATTTGCATTCTTTAAATAAGTGTCAATTGGGTTTACATGCTTCAATCAAATCATTTGAATTCCATGACGTTATGATGGGAGCCAGTCAGGATATCCATCTCACATGACTTTCTCACACTTCAAAATGTTTTCTTGCTCCAACAAAACAAAGCGACCCCCCAAATCCATGAAACAAATTATTAGAAAGGAAGTATTTGACTAGGAGCCACAATGTGCTAGATCCATCATTCACATGGCCAGACAAATCACCTAAATCTTTCTAGGTATAGTTTGGATGAATTATTTTTAGCCTCTTTCTATTTGTAAAATCCTTGGAGGTGCTGTCCTTTGACTGTTCATTATCCTTCCTTATTTCTCTGTGGCTGGTCACCTAAATTACACAGCATTGTTTCTGTACATTGATAGATATAAAGAGGTTTTAAACAGGAGAATAATGAATGACAGATAACAATATAACAACACAAGCAGATATTTGGGGAATAGCAAGCACACATAAGAAAAAAAGTTAGCTTTGGAGAGTGGAGTAAGAACAACAAATTAAAACAGGACCATAGAACACTGAAGCAACCAATCCACCCCAGATGTGACAGAGAGTTAGTTTTTCTTTCTGATACTAATTTTGAAGCAAACTGCATTTAAGTAAGACAACAAAAATGTATAGTTTTGGAACCAGTGAAAATGGTAATAGTTTGAAAACAAAAATGTGTCTTGTGCTGCTTACAAAAGACTAAACGAAAGTTAGTTATAGGAAACTGATTATAGAAAAAAAGTTTAGAGAGTCTATTTTAATTGAAAGAAGTATCTGGCCAGAATTTAGCCACATCAAAGCCCTGTCACGGAAAATCTTAAGTGTGTGCTGACAACACAGAACAGCTGAAACTGACATGCGCGTTTAATTCTGTGAGTGGAAAATTCCAAGGCTCACCCAGCTCGTGACCCCTGGTTGACCTGAGGACCTGTCAGTCATTACTGACCTACTTTCCCCGCAGACGCATGCTCAGTGACAGCTGAAAGCATGAGGTAATCGGACTAG